CCCAAACTGTCGGTCTCAGCCCCCCTGTGGAGGCCTTCGTGGGGCGTTCCTGGGCTTCGGAGGGCGTCTTGGAAGGCTCTGGGGCCGTTCTGACGTTCTGAAGCGTTTGCGCTTATCCCGGGGCTCTCTGGGGCAAGTAGGCGTGACTTGAACGCGAGAGGGCAGCAAAGAAACGGATGCCAAGAGGGCAGCTGACGTTGGTTCCCGTATTGTCCGCTTGGCGCGGTGATGATTTGTCGGGGCGTCTCCAGCCATCCTGAAGCTCTCTTGGGCAGACTTGGGGCCCTCTTCGGAGCCTCTGCGAGCTTCCAGGAAGCCTCTCCGAGGATTCTTGGGGGGCCTCTCGGAAGCTTCCTGGGGCGGCTTGGTGCCTTCCGGGGCCGTCGGGAACGCGTCTTGGACAAGAGGCGAACGACGAAGTGCGGTCAGCACGGCACCATGTGAGGCAGTCGCAAAATGAGGGCCGTGCGAAGTGAGCCGAGCACGCTTTCATGCGAGCCACCAGCGAACGGCAGGTGGGCGTGGCTTGCGAGAAAGGCACCATGCCAGCCACTTGAACGAAATAGTACGTGTGCGATGAGCTCAGCGCGCCACCACACGAGCCGCCGGCTTTGCAAGGGCCGTGCTCGTGCAGGTGTGAGAAAAAGGAAGCTGGGGCAATGAGCAGGGCTCCAGGGCCCCTCTGGGGCCCAGCCTGAGGGCCTACTGGTCGTGCGTGAGAAGGTGTTGAGGGGGGAGATCTGTGCGAACATAGCACGTGAACATGCGAGCCACGAAGTGAGTTCACCACGGCACCGTGCGAGCCACCTGTCAAATGAGGGCCTTGCGAGGTGAGCTCAGCACGTAGCCATGCGAGCCACCGGGGGAGGACAGGGGGAGAGCACGTGAACATACGAGTCACGAAATAATCTGAGCACGGCACCATGCGAGCCACTCGTCAAATGAAGGCCTTGCGAGGTGAGCTCAGCACATGAATATGCGAGCCACTGGGGGGGGTAAATGGCCGTGACGTGCGAGAAAGAGAACAGCAGAGAAGATGATGACTGTGGGGATCATTGTGTTGGTTTCCGTGTTCCCTGTCTTCACGTTATGAAATATTTATGGCCATCCTGGAGCCCTCTTGTGCAAGGGAGCACAACTCGAGAGCAAGCGAACAGCAAAAAAGAGCGTGCCTAGTGGGATCCTGGCGTTGGTTCCCGCGTTGCCCGTTTGGCGTTGTCACGCTTTGTGAGGGTGTCTCCGCCTTTCCTTGGGCCTTCTTGGGCAATCTTGGGGCCTTCTTGGGGGCCGGTGGGGGCTTCCCGAAGGCCTCGTCCAGGGTTCCGGGGGCCTCTTGGCAACCTCTTGGGGGCCCTCTTGGGTGCCTCTTGGGGCCTCCTGGGGGCCTTTGAAAGCGGAGAGCCTAAACTGTCGGTCCCTGCCCCCTCTCTGGAGGTTTTCTTGGGGCGTTCATCGGGCCTTCGGAGGCCGTCTTGGGGACCTCTTAGGCTGTCTTGAAGGCTTTTTGGTCTGTGTGGGCGCTCTCTTGGGGGCCTCTTAAGCCGTCTTGGGGCGATCTTTGAGACCTCGTGGGCTGTTTTGGAGCGTCGGGAAACCGACAACGCAGGAGCCCGAAAAACGCGAAAACCACTGAATTTTGAGTTGTGGGGCTCTCTTGAAAGACCAATCGAAAACCTTCCGAAGCGTCCTGGGAACTCCCTGGACCGTCTGGACGCGATCTTGGGGGCCTCCTTGGGGCCTCGTGGGGCCTCCTGGGGGTGTTTGTGGGCGGAGAGCGTAGAATGTCGGTCCCTGCCCCTCCTCTGAAGGTTTTCTTGGAGCGTTCCTGGGGCCTTCGGAGGCCGTCTTGGAGGCCTCGGGGGCCGTCTTCAGGGCGTCTTGGACTGTCTGGGCGCTCTCTTGGGGGCCTCTGAAGCCGTCTTGGGCGATCTTTGTGGGCTGTCTTGGAGCGTCGGGAAGTCGAAAACGCGGGCACCCGAAAAACCTTCAAAAACCCACCAGAAACTAATGAATTCTGACACTTGAGGCTCTCTTGGAGGACCTCTCGAAAACCTTCCGAGGCGTCCTGGGAGCTCCCTGGGCCGTCTGGACGCGATCCGGGGGGCCTCCTGGGGGCCTCGTGGAGCCTCCTGGGGGTCTTTTGGCGCGGAGAGTCTGGAATGTTGGTCCCTGCCCCTCCTCTGGAGGTTTTCTTGGAGCGTTCCTGGGGCCTTCGGAGGCCGTCTTGGAGGCCTCGGGGGCCGTCTTCAGGGCGTCTTGGACTGTCTGGGCGCTCTCTTGGGGGCCTCCTAAGCCGTCTTGGGACGATCTTTGGGACCTCTTGGGCTGTCTTGGAGCGTCGGGAAGCCGAGAACGCGGGCACCCGAAAAACCTTCAAAAACCCACCAAACAACAATACATTTTGACACTTGGGGCTCTCTGGGAGAGCCTCTCGAAAGCCTCCCCAATCGTCCTGGCCGGGGGGGGGTCCCGGGGGGTACCCCCCAAACCCCCCAAGGGAACACTAAACGGGAACCCCTCCTCAAGGTCGGAAATCGTTCCCAGACATTTTTTTTGACTATTTGGGCATATTCCCCCTGTAGAGGGACAGGCCCGACTTAACTCTACGCGAGCAGCTCGTGCGCGAATGTCGGTGCAATCGAACCCGTTTTTCCCCAATCAGTGCTTGCACTGAAGGGGTCCTAGCGAAAAGTGAAAGATTTGGCGAACATGTCCCGCCGATCTTTGTGGCCGGCTGGGCTCCCGGGTTCCCGGTTCTGGGCTCCCGGGTTCCTGGCTCTTGGTTCCGGGCCGATTTCGGTGGGTCCCGGGTTCCCGGGTTCCCGGTCGATCTCCTCATCGATGCCCACTGATTGGGGCTTGTCTCTGGTGTAATTTATTATTTTTGGCGCCGTTCCAATGTATTATTATTATTATTATTATTATTATTATTATTATTATTATTATTATTATTTTTATTATTATTATTATTACTACTACTACTACTATTAATAATTATTCCTTCTATCCTTCATATTATAAGGGACCCCCCCCCCCGGATGGGCGTCACCATGCCGGTTCCCCTCACCAAGCGGTGCTTGGACGGCCAGGTTGGCCGAGGACGGCCCAAAACGACGCGCGCCCTTCCCCCAAGACGGCCCCGGAGACGCCGAAAACGGCCCAAGACGCGCCCAAAACGGCCCAAGAGAGGTCCAAGACGGCTCCAAGACGGGCTCAGAGCGTCCCATGACCGTTCCAATGCGACTTACACTGGCCTCAAGGCTTTCAAAACGGCCCCTGGACGGCCCCAGAGGCCCTTCACAAAGAGCCCCAACAGGCACAAATCGTTGATTTTTTATTGTTTTTTTGTTTGTTGATGTTTTTGGCTTTCTGCCTTTTCCGCTTTCCGACGCTCCAAGACGGTCCAATAGCCTCCCGAGACAGCTCCAAGACAGCCCAAAGAGGCCCCCAAGACGGCCCCAAGACGGCCCAGGAGGGCCCCAAGACAGCCCCAAGACGGCCCAAGGGAGCCCCAAAATGGCTCAAGAGCCGCCCAGGACGGCCGAAGAAACCATTCAGACGGGCCCAAGAGGGGCCTAAGAGTGGGACCACGAACTGAAACATCGAGCCTTCCGCCCCAAAAGGCCCCCAGGAGGCCCCAAGAGGCCCCAAAGAGGCCCCAAGAGGCCCCCAAGAGTACCCCAAGACGCCTCGAGAGGCCCAAAAGAGGCTCCGAGAGGCCCCAAAACGGCTCCCAAAACGGCTCCCCAAAGCTTCAAAACTGCTTCCCAGAGGCCCCCGAGAGAGCTACCGCGAGATCCCATCGCACACGCAGGAAGCCTCTGACCCACCTATGCACAGTGGCGGGAGGGGCCGACGGCCAGTAGATGCACGCATGCATACAAGTACACATACATGCATGCGCAGACATACGTGCATGCATTCATGCACACGTATATACATTCGTGCGCACAAACGCACATGCGTACAGAAATACAACATGTATAGAACACTTACACAGCATACGTACACAAGCGAAGAGAGCCCCGAGAACCCAAATTCGTTGATTTGCCATCAACATTATGTTGGCCTTCTTGCCTTCTAGCTTTTCCTGTAGGTTTTCGAAAGTTTTTGATGTCATCGATGTTTAGGGCCTCCAGTGGCACTCGACGGCCCCAGAGGTCCCCAAGCTCACCCCAGAAGGCGCCCACAAAAAACCCAAAATAATCACGATTGCCGCCAGAAAGCCCCAGGGGAGCCCCCAATGGGCCCCACGAGGTCCACAATGCCTTCCAGGACGCCCCATGTGGGCCCCAGAGGTCCAAGAGAGCCCCAAGACCGCCCCAGAGGGCCCAAGACAATCGGCCAAAACTTTCAAAAACGGCCCAAAACGGCGCCAGGACGGCCCAAGAGCGCCCGGAAGGCCCCCCCAGGAGACATTCAAGACCGCCTGAGACGCCAACTTCATCGATCCTCGCAGGGTTCTCGTTTCCGCAGGCGACTCGGAGGAGGAGAGGAGATGATGGCGACGGTGGTGATGATGTTGACGTCTGAGCATCCTCCGACTCCCACACCTGTTCTGCGAATGGCTGGCCAGAAGGCTATTCGGGATCTCAGCCTTGGCTTAGAAACGCTGCGAGGGATGTTGGACCATATTCGGCACGGGGCTCTGCCTTTTCCGACCTCCGCTCTGCGATTGGACTTCCCCCCCTCGGACTACCTCATCCGTGCTCCTCACTGGCCACCGATTGCCACTCGCACGGCCGAGCGCCGCAGCTGTCCATGGTTTCTGCGTTTTCTGGCCTGCTCTTCGTACACAATGGCTGCGCGCAGACAACGATCACTGCACAGCGCCGAGGACGACGCGGCACAGCATTCCATTGCAACCCACTATCGCCCAGCGCGCCCGGACGCCTCAGCTGCCCATAGATTCTGCGTTTCTCTGGTCGTCGTCCCAACCAGACGCCCGCTTCAATATACGCGCCCTCCCCCTCACCATCCTCCAAATCATCCTCTCGCTCAGTAGCCTGCTTGGCTCAAGAGTGTGGCATCACCCCGCAGGCCCGCCAGTGCATTCTACCACTTTCGGACCTCCGTCGCGATGGTACTGTCAGATGGTGAGCTCTTCGGCGCTGTCGGCTCTGTCTACGCGGACGCCAAGGAAATTGGGACGCACTGCATGTCCGAACGTGCCGACTACACCACTTTGCTCACCGTATGCAGGAAGTGGGGTCTCAAACTCGGCGCGTTCTATTCTGTCTTCCTGCGCGGACTGTACACGCCGGAGGCGGTGCAATATTGTAGCAAAGCCTTGAGGAAAACGACCTCCCTCACAACGGCAACGATGGCTCTCGCCCAAGGTCTGGCCCGAGCACGAGCATTCGACGGTGCGAAATCATTCCCTTACGCCTGGCTCAAAGATGGGGACGTCTGCTGGAAACAGCTCATGACTTGCACTGCATCCCTCTGGAAGTTCGCTGGAGACGTCGTGGACGGCACGCGAAGGACGCGGAGCGAAGTCGATTCTCTGTTCCCTGCACGGTGTGGACCGCACAGCTTTTACAAAACCAAAAAGAAAGCTTCGCGGTGCTGCTACATGCGGCGCCACCTCACCCGCTTCATCACGATTCTGGTGTTCGGGTTCCGCGCCCCTCTTTCGCCAGCTTGCTGGACGATGGCGTGCTCCGGCATGGGCTCCGGCCCCAAAGTGGCATCGGAACTATCGGGATGCTGCGATGATTTCGCCGGGGCCGGAGAGTACTGTCACCATCTCCAAAAACAGCATGGGAAAAAACAACGTTCACATTGCATGATTTTACAATGTTCTTTTGTCTCAATGTGACGGCGCTCAAACAAGCGATCAGCATTGCACGCGGCAAACAGCGTGCTCGCAACGGCAGCGGAGTGCACCGCAAGGGCGCCCAGACGTTCGAAGCGCAGATCCAGGTCGACGGACATCGATACAGCCTGGGCACGTCGCGGACCGCCAGGGGCGCGAAGGAATTGCGCCAAAAAGCTTTAAGGAAAGTGCGGCGGACAGGCACTTTCGAAAAGAAAAAGAAGAAGAAGTCCAAGAATGTCGGGATCTACAAGCACAGAAATGGGTATCAGGTGGTCTGCTCCGTCAATGGAGAAACGCACGCAGGCCCCAAATGCAGCAGCATGAGGGCGGCCAGGCTTGCGCGGGACGCATTGTTCCGCAAGCACGGCCGGGCAGCGTGATGGGGGCAGCTTGCGTCCGCATATAAAAAAGATCATCACCATCACCATCGCCCCCCTGCTGGCGTCTGGACGGCGGGGGTGCCGGGCGACACGCCGCGACGGCCTCGCGCCAGCGTCGCCGCCCCCCTGGCCGCGCGGCTCCAGGCGCTCCTCCGGGAGGTCCGACGGTCCGCGGGGACCCCCCATTGTATCTGCGCTGCCTACCTCTGCATCACAATGCAATCGGTCGATTTCCCGGCCTCCCCCGCGGCGCCGCTCCGATGTCCGCGGTCGTCTGCCAGGCCGGCCCCCGTCGTCATCTCCGTCGTCATCTCCCTTCCAAATCCAACCCCTGCACTCTCTAGGACGAACGCGACAGCTGCGTTGCACACTTGCGTTTTTCTCCCCGGCCGCGCCGCTGCGCGCGTGCCCATTGAGTCTCTCCTTCCAAGCCACCTCCCCGCGCACTTGTCCACGGTTTCTGCATTTCTCCCCCTCGCTACTCGCGCGCCACCACCGCGTCGCGCTTCTCGTAGTCGCCGCCGCCGCCCCCTCCAGCTGCCCGGCTCAAAGCCGCGCCGCGCCTCGCCCGCGAGCCGTCCGCTGCCCCGATGCCAGCTAAGCGCGCGAACGCCACGTTCACGCCCGCTGTGCAGAGGCCGCGGGCCGCGCAGGCTCTGCCGCCCCAGAGGGCCAGCGTCTACACCACCCACGTCCTTCTCGAACTCATCGACGTGAACGGCAAGCGTGCCAACGGCGAGTCCGCTTTGCCTCGCGAAGCTTTTTCGGATCACCAACGGAAGCGAAGCTCGCGCAAGTGCCGCGCTTGCTTGGCCGACGCTCCGCAGCGCAGTGGAGCAGGCCGCGCGGTCCACGCTGCCGCGTGCGCTGGATGCGGCAGCGTTTTGCCTTGGAGTTCCTTTCCATTGCCTTCCCGACACACTGCCCAACCACGGTGCTACCACTGCAGCGCCCACAGCGGCCGCCCACAGAACACTTCTATTCATATAGGCGACTTCGATCAAGTTTGCCCACATTGCGGAGCACGCCTTTGCCGGAATGAGTCCGTCACGTTCTGTTGCAGTAGCGGCAAATACTCAAGAGATGTTGCAGCCTTTTTCACAGTTCCTGGTCCTGCTCTGAAGGGTATAGTTTGTCAGACCTGGCCTCTGAAGGATGAGGCTGGCACCATCGCGCGCGACGCGCAGACTGGCGCAGTAACGCTGACAGGATTCACAGCGTTATCCCAGCGTTTCAACAGCATATTCGCGCTGGCGCAGCACGAAATCCAGAGCAGTGGCCCTGACAAGGAAATGCGTTTCGGCGGAGTGCAGAGGCCATCAAACATCAGAATCCACGGGACGATGTACCGAAAGGTGTTTTCCGCGACAGACTCCGTGCCCCTGCGGTACCTCATAGTGGACCCTTCCGAAAGAGCGGCGGCGGCCATGCGCCAGGGTTTGCCTAAGACGCTCCTGTCGAAACTGGAAGCCATCATATTGCCCCACAGCCAGCATATGCGCACCATCCAGAGATTGGCCAAATTGAAGTCTCCGACGACTGAGGGCGCCGTGGTGCTCGAATGGCACGAAGGTGTCAACGAAGTTGCTGGCATCGTCGATGTCGATCCGCCCCCGAACCGCGGGCACCGCTCCGTCGCCTTTCATAAAACGCGGTCAGACCACCCAGAGTATTTACATCCACTCAGTCCATTACACGAGCCCCTCAACTACCCCCTGTGGTACCCGGCCGAAAGTCGGGGCTGGGGCGCGGACGTCGTCACCGACGCCGGGGCGAAAGTGACGCAAATGTGGTGGTATCGCCAGCAACTTCTCCGCTTCGACCACATGCACATGTGCGGGCGCTTCATTAATGAATGGTTGATCAACATGTTCTGCAGAATGGAGGGCGAACGGTTTTCTCACTTGCGCGACATCCAGAACAGACGAATTGCTTCGAGAAAAGAGCTCTGCGAAGTCGTGGCGAATGAGACTGCTGGAGGCGCGACCGTCGGCAAGAAATATTACTTGCCGGCCAGCGTGCCCGGCTCGCCGCGACACCTGCGGAAACTTCGGACTGACGCGTTAGAGCTCGCCCGCCGCCTGGGCCCGCCCTCTTTCTTCATTGCGCTGACGTGCAACCCCTACTGGGAGGAGATCCAATCGCAGTTGTTGCCCGGCCAAACGCCCGCAGACAGGCCTGATATCACGGTGCGCGTGTTCCACGGCCGCTTGGCGAAGATGATCGCGTACCTCAAGGAACACTTCTGCGCGCGTCGGAAGTACATGGTGAAAGTCATCGAATATCAGCGGCGCGGACTGCCGCACGCCCACATCGTTCTTTCCGTGGAGCATGCTGGCTGGAGCCCCGAAGACGTCGACAAATGCATTTCATGGGAGCTGCCACAGGAAAACGCGCACTTGCGCGCTTTAGTCCTGAAGCACATGGTCCATACCTGCAACCACTCGTGTCGCCCCCAGGACCCCGCGCAGGACTGCATCAAGGGCTGCCCTTGGCCTTCCTCCGACGCCGCCCACATAGACCTGCGAGGGCGCCCTATCCATCGGCGCCGCCATTGCGGCGGCCAGTGCCCCAACTGCCAGGGAGGCACTGCCCTGTGCGGTCGACGCCAGGTTTGCTGCAACCGTCTCATCGTGGAATACAACGCGGAGATCCTCAAACTCTGGGGCGGGCACGCCAATGTGAAGTTTGCTGGCACCGTGGAGCTGTTCGAGTACCTTTACAAATATTTGTTCAAGGGCCCGCACAAAGCCAATTACGACGTCACGCTGGACGCGTCCGTGCAGGATGAGCTGAACGAGTGGCTGCGTGGGCGATGCCTATGCGCAACTGAGTGCGCCTGGCGAATTTTCGGGTTCCACACTTACGACCGGTGGCCGCACGTCGTCTGCCTCCCTGTTCACCTGGACGGCGAGGACTGGGTTCAGTACGAAGAAGGCGCAGAGGAAGCGGCCCTTGAAACGCACGTTTCGGCACTGCAGCGGTATTTCTACAGACCTCAGATCCCGTGCTTCACGGGCTTGAAGTACAACGAATACTTCGAGAAGTACATGGTCGCTGCCAGGTGCCCCATGCCGTTGCGCGCGCACTTCCCCGCGCACTTCCCGGAGCATCGCCCGGCACAGCCCGCGGCCCGCCCCGCGGACGTCGCCGTGGACCGAGCCCCGCCCGGCCGGACGTGTTTTGTATACCCGCGACAGCGTGGCGAAGCTCCATTGTGCCGTTTGGAAATGAAATTTCCACGACAGAAGGAGGTGTTCTACCTCAGGCACATGTTGCTGAACTACCCGAAGAACAGCTTCGCCGACTGCAAGCAGCACAACGGGAAAACTGACCCATCCTACGAGGAAGCCATGCTGGCAACGGGCCACTTCGCCCGGTCAGACGAAGCGCACGCTGTTCTAGATGAGCTCATCGATCTGAAGTACACCGCCGCGCAGCTGAGGTTTGCGTTCCTCGTGCTCCTCGAGCAAGAAGCTGCGCCGATTTCGTTGGACAAGAAGTACGAGGCGTATTTGCTGAAAGACTTCTTGGTCGAGGCCGCTCTCGAAAGACGGCGCGAGCCGAGCTGATCCGCGCACTCCACGCCAGCTGGTTGCTGAATGGCAACGCGGAGGAGGCCTGGAAGCTCGACGCCCCCGACCCAGCGCAGCCTCCTCAGCCGTCTCCGCGCTCAACGACCCATCGGCAAGCCACGGCGGCGCTCGTCCACGCAGACCCCGACAAACGAGCAGCTGCCGACCACATCGTCCACTGCTGGAGCCAGGCCCAGGACTCCTTCATTTTCGTCGAAGGCCGCGCCGGCACTGGGAAGTCCACTCTGGCTCGGCACATCACTACCGAGGCCGAGTCCACGGGCAGGACAGTGATCAACGTGGCCACAACTGGCCAGGCCGCGCTGGAACTGCCTGAAGGGGCGACCGCGCATTCTACTTCTGACGCCCCTTTAGCGGACGACGACGACTTGACTTGCACGCTGGGGCTCCGCTCCGCAGCAGCAATGCGCATTGCGCAGGCGGCGGTCATTCAGTGGGACGAATGGCCGCCTGTGAAGAAGCCAGCGTGGGAAGCCGTGCTGCGGCTACTCCACGCACTCCAAGCCCACCACGCTGAAGCATACGCCCCCAAAACCATTGTGTGCTACGGCGACTTCCGCCAGATTCCGCCGGTCCTACCCAGGGCGTCGCGACGTGCAATTGTGGCAGCCAGCGTCCGTGCATCTTCTTCCTGGGCGTCCTTGTCGTGCTTCCGACTTCGGACAGTGTACCGGCAGAAGGACGATCCCGCGCATGCGAAGTGGGTAGACCGCATTGGAGGAGGCCTCGCCCCCGCAGAGCATTCTGCCAGCGGCGGGACGGGCTTCGCATCCCTCGACCTCTGCGCCACCTGCAAATGCGACGCTGCTTCCTTCTGCTTTCCAGCCCTGAACGACCCCCACGAGTGCGCGAAAAACAGAATACCTGCGGCTCGAAACAGTTTGGTAGACGCGCACAACCACCGGATCTTGCAGACGTTGGTGCAGACCTACCGCTGCCCAAGCTACGACAAATGCAGCTCCGACTCTATTGACATGGACGCCGACGGCTGCATTGAGCCGCACATCACCGCAGAGTTCTTGAACTCGCAAGAACAGCCTGGAGCGCCGCCGCATTGCGTGCGCCTGGTCAAGGGCGCGATCTATGAACTGATGCGCAATTTTAGTCCGAAACACCGCCTCATGAATCACGTTCCTGTCGTCGCCCAAGAAGTGTACGACAACCACGTCCTCATTGCGACGCTCGATGGGAAGACCTACCCGTTGCCGCGGATATGCTTCAGATGGCAGATCGCATCCGGCACATCGACGATGACCCGCAGGCAATGCCCGCTGAGACCCGGTTACGCGTCTTCCTTCAACGGTGCTCAGGGCCGCACCTTCGACCGGTGCGCCATCGACGTTCGCCGCAACCCGTTCTCGCACGGACAGCTGTACGTGGCAATCAGTCGCGTCCGCCGACGACAAGATGCGCGCGTGCTGTGCGCGCC